TCCCAGCACCTGTCCCCCCCCCCCCCCCCCCCAGTTCTGCCAGTTTCTTTATCATCCAAGTTGTCTTACTGTTGCCAGTCAGCTGAGGGATGGAAGGGCTGTTAAATAAATGCCTGGCCCCTGGCACTGTGAGCTAGAAAACTGAGAACCAGGTTCGTCCACCCTTGGTGAGGAGTGGAAGGCCGGCTAGATTACGTGTCTAATTTAGTGTTAAGTGGTGGCTTGAATCAGTGTATAAGGTGCTTATAATTGTGATTTTCTGTAGGACCCCCCCACCCCCCAAAAAACCCAAAAGAACAAAATAGTGTGTTGATCTCACTATAAGCAGTTTTCTGCTATGGACTACTCAGGTTTATACAGGAAATGTTAATGAATGCTAATCATAAGAGGGGAAATCTCGTTTTTGGACTTTATCTTACATTTGTTACTTTTGAAGCTTGTCCAAAGATGGAAGAGTAGGGAATTGGATTGGTCCCAAGTGAAGCTTGCTGGGTAGATTTTAAACAATACATTAAACCTTTGGTACTGGTATGTGATAATTTTATTATAGGATATAAATAATTATATTTAACAATTGCTTGTGAGTGGCTATGGGAAAGTTTTATAGAATTGTGTTTACTTATTTTTGTTTGGTAAGGATACTGTCTTTTGGTATATAGTCTTGATCAATGATTTCAGAGATACCGCACAAGTAACTTCTCCCAGATTTTTGTCTGAACCTCTTGTATATGACCTAATCTCAAAGGTAAAGTCAGATATATTTAATTGGAAAAAAAATCTAAAAAATTTCTATTGGGCTGAAAACACCATAAGCCAAGTAACACCCCTTACTGGAGCAAATGTTTATGGTGTGCTTGACCAAAGGTAGACAGACAGTTCTCGAAAGAGAGACAGATAACCCAGTAGGAAATGCAGGCGTCACAGTCCAGAGGCAGAGAGCGCAAGCAGTTTATAAGCACGCCTTCTCTCTTCCTACACAAAGTACAGATGAGCTGCAGTTTTCAGCTACCACATTGCTAAAGTCCAGAAACGTTAACTATAGAGCATAGTGCCCAAAGCCCACGTGTGGGCAAGTATGCTGTCCAGCCCACTGCATGGTGCAATCTTTTGTGTCATTTCTGGGAATGTATCCTATAGATGAAAATGATATTGGCTCACGGAGGTGTTCAGTATGGGAATACCCATTGCATGTAGTATGAAATATTTAAAAGCTGGAGTCTTCCAAATTTCTGCCAGAATTTGGTTAAGCAGCACTGAGTGGAATACTATGCAGCTATGAAAAAGTTGATTTATAGTTTAGCAAAGAAAGGTGACCTTCTAAAATAAATACCTTAGGCCAAGCGTGGTGGCGCCTCAACACGCAAGGCAGGGGATTAAATTGAGGACCAGGTAAAGCAAATGCCCACTGCTGAGCCCCACCCTCAGCTCTGTGAGTTCCAAGCCAGCCAGGGCTGCAACACCACAAAACAAATCCCTAGCTTCACAGAGAAGGGTCACTTCCTGTTTAAACAACAGTGAAAGACTTGGGTGTAAAGAAAGGTCTCACAATTTCAGCCATGGAAGAAACTGTGAACCATAGGTGTCTGGAGAAGAGAGTTCAGCGAAACAGCAAGATTTTAGAGAATTTATCTCTGTCTTAAAGCAACACATATGTTTTCAGAATTAAAGATGGTTAATACTTTTTGGTGTGTTTTCATGTGTGTGCGGAAATAACTGTTCTTTTTGAGGGGCTGGGATGAATGCATGTGGTTATTTTTTTTAAAGTTTATTTTAATTAAAATTATTAATTTGGGAGCAAGGCACATTTAAACACAACCAGAGTCTTTTGTGTGAGAAGGAAGGAGTTAAGTTTTAGAAGCACTTGGTCATTTCTTCGTACTTGCTTCTGAGAGAGAAAACTTCTGCTCAAATGTTATTTACAAGTTGGCTCAGAAATCCTTTCCCTTTTTCTTTTTCCACGGGGGAGGGGAGTCAAGACTGTAAAGTACAAGGGGGATCTACATTACAATTAAAATGAATAAACATTTTTAATCACAGTAATTTTAATTTATTGACCTTTTCTTGAGTATTCTTATTTTCTTTTATTGACCAAGGATGACTATAAAGATGAGACTAAATTCACCTTTATAGTTGGGTGTATTGTATGTTGGCTAGGATATGTTTACTGAACCCAGTTTTAAGTAGAATAATAGGGAACTGTTTTGTATAGGACCATATACTAATTTGTTTTTGCTTTGCAGGGGGATTGAATGCAGGGGCAGATAAGGCCGCAGCTGAGCTCCACCCCCAGCTCTGTGTATTCCTTTTGATTAATGACAAAGTTAAGTGCAGAAAAGAAGAAATTTTGGAATTACTCACATGTTTTCATGTGTGGCTTGAGTTGCTTGCTTCCTGATTTTCAGCTCTTGATAGGTTAGGCACGCTTGGTGTTTAGTGATACTTCATTCCATGACAGCTGGTATTGGTCCAGTGAGGAAATCTACTGTCCAACTAGTACAACACTTGTTTTGTGGCTCAGACACTGATCCGACAAAGGGAAGGAGGCTCAGTCCAGTGCCTGCTGAACAGGCATGAGGGCATGTGTCTAAGTACCTCTTAAGGAGTGTGCATCTATAACCCCAGCATTGAGAGGGCCAAGACAGGTGGATCCCTGGAGCTCATGGAATCCAACCTCGCTGAATTGATGGGTCCCAGGTCCAGTAAGAGACCTTATTTGAAAAAAAGAAGGTAACTGAGGCACATACTCACTGTTGACCTCTGGCTTCCTCACACAGGTGCACACACATGCACATGCATTCACACGAACAGGATATATACACCACATGGACATGCACAT